TCAATGCTTAAGATTCATGTTTATTTTTTTTGGACAAAGTGTTACTGTCATATATTTTTAGGATTTAATTTTAATTGTTTTACCTTTAATATCTATTATGAAATCAAATAGTTAATCCTACATTCGGGCAGGGTAACATCTGGTAGGTAAAGTTTGAAAAAAAAAACAACTTTAATTACCATAATTATTACATGAAGAATCAAGAAAGTCATGATTTATGCGTTCGATACTTAAATTTAGTGACAAAGTATATTATTGCGAGTGAAACCGCGAGCATAAGCCAGTTAAGAAATAAAATTGTGTGTAAACAGAATATTCGTAGGTGGAAGTTTAAACAGTTAGGAATCTCGTGACTCAAGACTCAGAAATTACCATCTTCAGTGCCTACGACGCAATGTTGTTTACACATTTTCCTTCAACTAGAAGTTTTTGTAATTTGTATTTTTCAGGGTATATATTTAAGTGTATATATGTAAATAGATGGTTAACCGACGAAGCTAGAATTCAGTTAACGGTTAAACATGTGGCGGTGAGGCATTATGCTGGAATGTCAGGAATTGCGAGTTCGAATCCCGTTACTCTTATTGAACTGAGAATATTATTGCGAAAACGTGGGGGTAAAATAATACAATTTCTATCTTGTTTAGAATCCTACGAAGGTTTATAAATTTCCTAGGAAGTTTATACATTTGCAGTTCTTTTTATTTTCCGGTGACATAAAATACTTCTATTGTAACAATGGTGCAAAATTTCTATCTATGTCTATGCTAATACAATTTTATACGGAGATTAGTCCGTATAGACATTAACATTATAAGCTATGCTTACGTAGGCTTATTAAACGCTCTCATTTTGGCCGAATAAAATGTTAGTTCCACTTTATTTCACACCAAATTACATCGAAAGCGGTAACCGTAAAGAGGTTTTTAAAAGAAGATGAGTAGAGGTTCGAATTTATAATATTAGTATATTAGTATGGATTAAAAGCGAAATTTGAATTATTAACAATTGTTAACAGTAGTAGTCAATTTATTTCATTTTAAATATGACCTAAATTATACAATTTGAAGCTCATACGTTCGCCAGGTGTACAACCATACATCAAAGTTATCATAAATTTATTTATATTTCACTGGAGCGTCCAACATCGTCATATGTCACTGAAAATAGTCTCTTTGATGCTCTTCACCTCGGGAGCAGGCTCATCAAAGCGTAGTTTTATGAATACTGAAGATTATATACGTACGGTGTACGGGCTCCTCTCCGTCACTTTGTGGAAACGTACACACCTTGCCAATGTTGACATTTTCAACTCAATTTTTTTAAACTTTTCATTAGGCTTTAGGCACTTATACTCGTATATCTTATATGTATATAAAATTCTCGTTTATATATAAAATTCTCGTGTCACAATGTTCGTTCCCGTACTCCTCCGAAACGGCTTGACCGATTGTCATGAACTTTTGTGTGCACATCGAGTAGGTCTGAGAATCGGCCAACATCTATTTTTCATACCCCTAACTGGTAAGGGTGACCCATCCCTAATTTTTTTTTGTTTTGTAATACAACGTTTGCCGGGTCAGCTAGTATTTATATAAAATACGCACGATTTACACATCGTTCCATCAAATATTATTTCGTGGACATAGGTGTGGGTTGCACGTTCACTCAACAGATTATTTGCTCTAATTTTAAACTGGTTATTACCCAACGTGTAACTGTTTAATGTCCCATAAAATAAATAAAATAAAATATATCTCAACGAAATTATATAATTTCAAGAATTACATGTGCAATTAACATATATTATTTCCTTAACCACTAACGCCATTTATATTTTAGAATACATGTTACATAAGACACAATCTAATATTTAATTCTATATTACTGCAGCTTCTGCTCTCATGTGAATTGTTGAATACATTTTATCAGGTATTATAAAGATACACTATATGTCCTTGTCTGTACACTTTTTTCCCCTTGGATACCACCTTGGTGGTTATATAGAACTCGAACCGACTCGACTCGAACCGACTAAAAAACACATGCTGTCTCGAGTACTAGTAGTGGGGAACCAGGTGTACCCTATAAAGGAAGGCAGGCCATCTACGGCTTGTAGATAACTCCCCTCCTTCTTCGTTGTCTTTAATCCTAAAAATGTTTGATATCATAATGCTCAGTGGTTATTTGGGACATAATAAGGTAAGGAACAAACGAATTAATCATCAGACTCATTTCACAGTAATTCTTAAAGTTATATGATGAAATGATATGGATAGTTGGCGCTCCACTAATATGCACTTTTCGAGACACTTTGCACCGCACAACCAATCTGTGGAACGGGTTATCGTCATCGGTGTTTCCGGACCGATACGACCTTCAAACCTTCAAAAAAAGAGTGTACGCCTTCCTAAAAGGTTACTGAGTTTCAGACGTTCATGGGCGGCGATGGTCACTTTCCATCAGGTGACCCGTCTGCTAGTCTGCCCCCTCTAACATAAAAAATAAATAAAATGAAATGATGATATTTTATTTCATTTCATCACCTCAGCATCATATCATATAACAATAATAATGAAGTTAACCTAAAAGCCAAAAATATAATTACCAAACATATTTTAGATAGATAGATATCTACTAGACGTAGATAGATTCATAATTCATATTTTATTACGTACATTATAATAACTCTTTATTTACTATTAACACAATCCTATCCTGTCGTCCTGTATCAGTCCTGTAGCTGTTTTTTTTTCAAAACCGACCACTCCCGCATTAGGAATATATCCTGTGTCGCGGGGGACTCTACAAACATACATGAAACGGACACAAAGAACACCCAGACACAGCTGCGATTATTGTGTTATAATTGTTTTAATTTTTATGTGTGCTTTGTGTGGCATAAAAATGCATAGCATGATGGTAATCGTTGTTGGGTCTTGCTTGCTTCTACATTCTACATTGCTTCTACATCTTTCAAAACTCGGGCGTCCCCATTTTAATTAGATATCCGCTGTCCTACCTTTCCTACACGCCAAGATATTTGCATCTGTAAATAAACATGCCTTTTAAACTTTTATTTACATTGTAACATTAATAGTGGTCTAATTTTACACGCGCTATCAATAAACACACCAACTTTGTTATGTACACAATCATTTATTTATAGGTTTATATAAATATCTCACTGCGCAGTCCGTGAACTTACAACGTTTAAGATTTGCGTCAAATGCTGTTTACCACACGAAAATAACATTTAATGTATATGTGAAAGCGTTGTTTTGTCAACAACTGGTGTTGTTCAACTACGATGACTTGAATGCACGTGCAGCACGCAGCAGTTGATTTGCCAATTTGCTTGAGTGTTGATGGTTCAATGGACCGTTTTTGTGGTTTTATGTTAAAAACAACTCCACTGATATTGCATGAAACTAAAATATTCGTGCAATACTATCGACCAAGTATGTAAACGTTGAAATAAACTTGATAATATTATAAATAAACTAGGTTTTGCCCGTGGTTTCGCCCGCCTGTATGTCGGTTATTGCAATAAAAAGCCCATGTCCTTAACTAAGAATCCAACTATCTACATACAAAATTTCATCTGAGTCGGTTCAGCGGTTATTGATTCCCCATACAAACTGCCACCCCTCTTACAGGATGATTTCTGGGATATAAAGTCTCCCATGTCCTTTCCCGAGACTCAAACTATCTCTAATGAACTAATGAATAGGACTTTTTAACTATTATTAGACAATTAAAGTCAATTTATTAAAAAAAAATACATTGTTTTTAGGGTTCCGTACCTCAAAAGATAAAAAAGGAACCCTTATAAGATCACTTTCTTGTCCGTCTGTAAGTCTGTCCGCGTGTCAACACCGATTTTCTCAGGAACGGGTAGACCTAGCTGAAAGTTGAAATGGATACCAGATGCTGAGGTCTATGGTCCCTATTAGGTGTATAAAAATCAAGGTCCTGAGTCACGATAAAAAAATATGGGCAAATTTAGATTTTCGCGAAAACTTGTAAGTACCAAAATTTACCTTAATTTTCAACTTTTGTTGGAACGAAAGACGGAAAAAATTCTCACGAAAAGTTGTAACGACACTTTTTATGTCAGTCATTCAGCGCCATCTATGGAATAGATAGGAAATCATTTCTCAAGGAGATTTTACCAATGTATAAATTGTTTTAATTAGAAACCAACTGAAAAATATGTAGGTAATAGCCGCTTTCATAGATGGCGTTGTAATTAAAATCGTGTCGAATCAGTTTTACTAGATAGTCACAACTTCGTTCCTATCGGGTGTCCCACGACACCACACGGCTTTTTTATTTTTCAGAATTTTCTCTTTACTTATGCTATAAGACCTTGCTTTTAACCAAAATTGACAATTCTAGGTCAACCGGAAGTACCCTATAGGTTTTGGGTCGAAAACCTATATGGTAGTTCCCGTTGACCTAGAATCACGAAATTTGGCAAAAAGAAACGTCTTACAGCACAAATATACAGCGAATACGAGTATCTACGTAAAATCTGGGTAGGTACGGAACCCTCGGCGCACGAGTTCGACTCGAACCTGCCGGTTTTTTTGTATAAAACAAAGAATATTCATTCTTTCAAACTAGTTTTTGAGTTGAAGAATAATCTCTTAGGTCTCTCTTTTAAAGGGCTCGGTATAGTAGGCCAAAACCTCTTTCTAAGGAGAGGCCTATGTCCAGGGGCGCACTGTTAAAGATTGTTTATGATGATGATGAATTTCCTAGCGCCAGTCAGTTCGGGTTACATGTTTGCAACCCTGATCTGCTCTAGCTCTCCCAATCCTTTTGTAAAACAAGATATTCCCTGTTCTTCAATGGCCTCCCCATTTTGGAAATTGGAAGAATATTTTATTCTTAAATAAGTGAGACTAAAACAAAGATGGCGATATGTGGCTGTTTTAACTGTACGTCGTCTGCTTGTTCGATACGTTTGTTTTATATAGTTATATGTTTTCCAGGGAATCCGAGTGGCTTTTTGGTACACCAGCAGGCAGGAGACAGCTGCAAGACTCGGCTAGGTTTGGCCGCCTCGTCGTCGCAGTATTGAGACGGGGTCACAAATTCGAAAGCCTCGACGCTGTTAAGGAAGAGTTAGCCCACGCAGCCAAGATGCTCATCCCTTACGGTTTTACTGGACAAGTAAGTTCTATTGACATTTCCTCGTGTTTGTCGAAAGGATTTTTTATCGTTGAGAACCTCTTGAAGTTCTCAGCTGAAATTTTTTTTTTCTACTTACATACAAAAATATAATTATATATAGGTAATACGCGATATTTTCGGCATTCGTGAACCGATTTTAAACATTCCATTAAAAATTAATAAGGTTTTTGTTATGATGGAATCATACCACCATTTAATTACTGAAAATAGTCTCTTGGTAGTACGACTGGCCTGTTGGTCTAGTGACCCTGACTGCTAAACCGGAGGTCGTGGGTTCGATTCCCGCCCAGGACAAATATTGTGTGATGTGCACGGTCATTTGTTCTGTGCCTGGGTGTAATTTATCTATAATATTTATCTATTTAAAAAATATATATGTATGTTTATCAGTAGTCTGGTTACCATAGTACAGGCTCTGCCTAGTTTGGGAGCACACGGCCGTGTGTGAGATATATTATTGTCAAGAAAATGTCATTTTAGAAAAAAAAAAGATTTTATTAGTACTATCGTCTGTCTTCGTTTTCAGGAACGTTTTGTACCCTGAAGGTATTTTAAGACAATTAGTAGAGATTACAATTAAATTTGATTGAATAGAAATAGTGTCTATGTCCAGCAGTGGACTGCGCTAGCCTGATGACGATGATTAGAAAAATGAAACAAAAAATTAAAAAGAAAAAATATCCACCCACTAGTGTTTCTCATTCTAGATACCATTCCTGTCTCTGGGCAGCGACGTGGGTCGTAGAGTTAAGGTGTACGAAGGCTCCTCAGAAATCTCCGGCGAGTTCGTAGTGGAGGACGTGGATGTAGAGGGTGCCACACATCGGAGACTCGTGTTCTTGGACAACCAGTTCCTAGTTCAGTCTGAAGCCAAGTTCAAGACAGGTAAAAAATTAACTTTTATAACATTTTTACGGTGACATTGTTTATGTTGATCTAAAATTATCACTTTCTGAGATTCAGAAGATTCGCTCCTAACAATTAAACAAGTTTTTAATTTAACATAGTTATATGTACTATATGTATCCGTATGGTGACGGATTAAGAATACGGAATGTCACTATCCCTATTCATGGGTGGGTGTCGTGGGTGTCGTAGAGCCGACCAAGGGAGAAAACTATGCAGGACAACAGCACTGCAAAGAGAAAGAAAACTTGACACAACCCCTATACCAACCCGCCTGGCCAGCGTGGTATAGCAGGCCAAAACCTCCTTATAAGGAGAGGCATATGTCCAGCAGTGGACTATTAGAGGCTGTTGATGTGATGTGATATGTACCAATTCAGTTAAACGGTTCTATTAGGAGTTCTCATGTCATGTAGTATACTGCTTAACTTCTGGAACTTTATGTATACCCGCTGTTACGTGCATTCATTCTAGTTTTCCGACACAGTGAAAAATAAAGAATTGTGATTTATCGCAGATTATCGAGTTCATTGTAATTAATTTAAATAAATTTTGTATATTTCGGTGTATTCATCTCATCACGAATTCCAGCTTATAACAATACCTATATATTACATTTGTTTTGTTACAGTGAAAAGAAAAAGCAAATCTAAATTAGTACTAGATTTCGGTCACATATCTCTGTATCATTCCTTCATGTGCGTCGGAGTCGAGCTCTCCAGAACGTCATCCCCCAAAGTGGCTGTCCTAGGTCTCGGTGGAGGCAGTCTGTGTATGTTCCTCAGGAAGTGCTACGACAGTCTCAGAGTCACGGCAGTGGACCTAGACCCCGTGATGTTAAACATCGCTAAAGATTATTTTGAACTTCAAATAGACGAGAATTTGGAAGTTCAAATCAAAGATGGATTGGACTTCTTGAAGGATGAAGTAAAAAATGGTGAGTTTTATTATATTGATAAGCATGTATGATTACGTTCCCATAATCATATGAGACCAGTTTATGGCCTCCCTCACTGGACGGTACTCTACCCTGCATTCTTTGAGCTGGTATAGTTCTATCTAATACAGTCTAATTCCATTTTCCTATCGAAGATATGTGGTATCCACCCTCTTTTCGTGTGGTGACAGATTAAGAATACGAAGTGTCACCACCCCTATTCATCTTCTAGGTGTCGTAAGAGCCGACTAAGGGAGCAAACTACGCAAGACAACAGCATTTGAAAAGAGAAGGAAAACTTGAAACAACTGAACAACCCGTCTGGCCAGCGTGATATAGTAGGCCAAAACCTCCATTCTAAGAGGCCTCTATGTCCAGCAGTAGACTATTAGAGGCTGTTGTTGATGATACACCCTTTGTATCTTACGAAAACGATTAAATCCCCAAGCAGAGTTGTTGAAATAAAATCGTTAGCATTGTTATACATTACCTATACCTCTATACAAATAAATAAAATTGAAGTTTGTGAATGTAAAAATTTTTTTTTCATGCTCACACGGTTATTTGCATGATACCTATGCTTAAAAACCAGTTTAAATTATTTTTGTCTGTCTGTTCGAGTAATCTTCTAAACCTGGATGGCTGGACCGATTTCGATAATATTTTACTACCAGGTACTACATAAGGTGTCTACATAAGGAAAAACTTATGCTATTTTTTCTCTCAGAAAAACCCTTTAAAATTTTGCCCGGTCCGGGAATCGAACCCACTAAGGCAGCGCTTTTCAAATTCCACGCGAACGAAGGCGCGGGTACCAGCTAGTATTGCAATATAATTGAGGCAGAGGCAAGAAAATTATTATAATATTCATAAGCATATAAGATTACGTCTGAAGAACAAAACCTATTTAAATGATATGTTTACGAATTTAATAATACATCTACCAGCCTTGTCTCTTCTACTTGATGCGGCATTCTATTTATTCACATTCCAGGTAACAAATACGGAGCAGTCATGTTCGACATGGACAGTAAGGATCGCTCAGTGGGACTCTCTTGTCCCCCCCAACAGTTCTTGGAGAACCACGTGTTGGGAGATATCAACAAAATACTTACTGAAGACGGTGAGTTCTACTGTGACTATTTTTTTAACTATTATTATTTAGAAAGGTCATCCCTTTCTCAGTTCAGTGCTTTATAGGAAACTTTAGAGACCCTACATACCGTAAAAAAAAACTAGGCCTAAGTTTGACTACGATCTTCTACCTAGTAGGGTCTATCCATTAACTACGTCACCCCTAGGAGTGGGGACGACGACGACAATGTGTGTACAAGGGTGGGAGGGGTTCCAAGTTTCGTGACGTCACAATTCAAAACTTAAATATAATATTTCTACGTATTAAAAAAATTGAATTATAATAATTAAAATTTAGAGTATCGTTTTTGGTCCGTGTAGTGACGGATTAAGAATACGGAATGTCACTACCCCAATTCATTCCGTGGGTGTCGTAAGAACCGACTAAGGGCGCAATACGCAGGATACCAGCACTGCAGAGAGAAGGAAAACTTGACACAAACCCTATACCAACCCGTCTGGCCAGCGTGGTATAGTAGGCCAAAACCTCCTTTCTAAGGAGAGGCCTATGTCCAGCAGTGGACTTATTAAAGGCTGTTGATGTGATGTGATGTATCGTTTTTTTTTCTAATGTTTGATTTGATTTTTGTAAATGTTTGATTTGATTCTATTAAATGGAAATAAAATAAATGTCGAAACTGCTATTCTGTACCAGAACCTCAACCTTATATACAATTTTATGGTTAAACAAGACTATGTAGTAATATTTTTCTTTAGAGAAGAGTCGCCAAGCTCCTCAAGACGGAAGATCTAATTTTTTGAAAACCAAATCTTTTGTAGTCATTCATAAAATATACTTCTTACCTTTTCCAGGCCACTTCATCCTAAACCTGGTGTGCAGAGACACACAACTCCACGAATCCATCCTGAACGCCATCAAACGCCACTTCAAGCACATCACCACCGTCAAACTATACGAAGAGGTGAATGAAATAGTGTTCGCTACAAACAGTAGCAAGTCATACAATAATGAGGATTTTGACAAGGCTGTGAAGGAACTGAACGCTGCTGCTAGACAGAAGAAACTTGTTGACATTCGGTGTGTGGACTTGAAGGACTTTATGCAGTCTGTTATAATCGTTTCTTAGGTGTACTAGGAATTATTTTTGTATATTTTATTTAGTGAAGTAAACTAATAAGGGCTGTACCATAAACTGAATATATAATAGATTGTAATATGCTGACTAAAATTATAAATACTGTGGCGAATACCACACACGGTGAAACAAAACATATTACAGCGCCATCTAAGGAAGATACACCGAACTACAGAGTAACTCCTGAATGAGAATTGCTAATCCTGTACGCGATATGAAGAATCTCTCGCCGATTAGCATATGTACAACTTCCCAACATCAACCGTAGGGCCGCGGCCCGCCACGCATGATCACCTCGCCCGGTCGGAGGGCCATGACATGAGATGACATGACCGTTCCTCAACAATACGAAAGTGCTTCATTTGCTTACAAGTTGTCAGTAGTAGATCAGATACCTTTAATAAGAAAACTATTCCAACTTTGTGTAGAAACAACAATGTGGCTAATCCTATCTTATAGTGCTAATTCTAGTTTATAGTATAATGCGAACACTCATATCGCGATGTAGAATCAGTTGGTAGTTTCGAAGTAGTACGGCTTCTCTCCGTTAGATGGCTGTAGTGATATTTATTTTTGATTAAAACAGCTGTCTCAATGTCAAAAATTAAAATCGAATTTAGAAATTCTTTATTTCAGAGTCAATCACAACGTCTACATTTAGCGTTCTTGAGTTATGAATGTTGTTAACTATTTGTAACTACCCACTTAAAAAGATTTTATGGATTAAGGACGAAACGCGTGTTGGAAATTATAATACTTTGACGACTTGTATGCATATTAGGCATAAATTAAGTTTTAATTCGCGACACGTTTATATTTCATCATAAGTTCAAATCTAACCACGAAGGGTGTATCGGTTGTTACACTTCTATTTTATTGCAAGTAACTCCTGTAATTCTCTGTAAATGGTTTTAAGTATAGATGTTTAGTTAAATAGAAAAAGTAAATATGTCATAGTTGATTAGAAATAAATATTAGAGCACGCAGAATATTTATTTGTATTGGTGACATAAACTTCTGGGACTGGAACTAGACTCAGACAAATTTTTTTAAACCTGAACTGATGGCGTTATGCAACACGCACTCTACGACAACAAATTACGATTGTTTCATATTTGTTATTCAAAAGTCGACCTTACGCTTATGAACCGAAGATACGCAGACAAACTATAGGCAATTGTAACATTGCCTAGCCTCAATTTATATGTACTATAAAATAACAAACACAATGAGTTATAAATGAAACTACAAAATAAAAGTAATGCATTTAATGCCGTTTCTTTGTTTACCGATCGCTCCCAACTCGAGACTAGCACTCGTCATTCCAATTTCACTTTATTGTCGCATTCATTAACAAACATCTCCACATAAGCTAACACCACTGCATCAAAAACAAAATTTAAACACGCTAACAATTAGGCTCCCTAATTTATCACAATTGGCACCTATGAGGTCTACAAACAACAAACATACAATAATTTAAACATTAATGTTCGCAATTAAATAAATTACAAATAGCGTTGCGCTTAATACTTTAAGCGGAATACAGAACACTTGAATTAAAAATGTAGTCTTCAAAACACTTTCTTCAGAATATTCTTAAGGCTTTTCTTCTTCTTGCCGCCAACTTGTTCTTCTTGTTGACCATTTTGAGATATTTCTGTTGATTCTGACCACAGACTCCCGGTGGGCGACTCCGAAGACGCTTTCTTATTTACATTTCCATTAAAAACTGGCTCTAGATTCCTCACGACTGGACTAGGCGTGCTTCTACTGCTCTGACGACTCAAAGTCCTCAGGAACGCTGGCGACGACAGCCGTCTCGTTTTCATAGTCTTGCTCTTCAAGTTGTTGAAGAAGGAGCCGTTTGTCTTAGGGAACTCCTGTTTCAGAGGAATAGTGTCTTCAATCTCATTGAATTCTTTAGGCTCTGGAACGGGACCAAAGAACTCCTCTTCGTCTAATGTAATAGTATTTTCCTGTAATTTCCCAATGCTATCCTGTCGTGACCAATCTTTAGGCGGTTCTACTTCTCCCTCTCGGTGTATTATTGAAGTTTTTCTTCTTCTGTTCTTGCGAGCTATTTGCCATTCTCCCTCATCTTCATCTCTGCTTGTTTCTTCAGTAGACAGTCTGGCTATTTGCAACGCTTCTTCACTAGGGCGCCGTTTCTTGACCGATGGCGTGGCGTGTCCACTTACACCCTCAACAGATTTCCGCCTGAATTTATCTGGTTTCTTTTTATTTTTTTTTGCTATCGGTACCATGACAGTCTCGACTTTTCGCTTCTTGGCCAAAACATAGAAAACTACTGCGATGATTATTGACTGGAAAACGACGAATTTGAAGAAGTTGATATTACCGAACCAGCTATCTCTTTCTTCCATGAGGATGTGCATTGCTGCCGCCATTTGGCCAAGCTGTTCCTGTAACGTCGTCATCTGATCCAGGTACTTCTGTTCGCGTTCGTTGCTTTTCCGTCGCTCATCCGTCATCTGCAACACGGTCTTTTCGAAGGTTTTCTGCATCTCTTCAACTTGCTTTTTGTAGCGTCTGCTTAGCTCCTCCAAGTACTGGCCGGAAAGGGACATGTTGCGTTCCAGCGTCTGAAACAGATATATTACAAATGATAATAATTTACCTATTGTAGGTTTTGAGCTAATTTAAACGTACAGAAGCTTGAAATATGGAAATTCGTAAAAAAATAAGGTATATTTCTCTGGGAGTACAGATATTTGTTAGTAATAGAAGAGTTTATAAGGAAAACCTTATATCAGAATAAATTTGTACACATGTATTGTATTTGTATATGTGATTATCAGGAGTGAACATGTTGATTGCCGCTTATTCAAAACGGAATTGAAGCCTGCTCAGGCTGAACTGGCGCAAAGTTAAGAGTGAATCAATTATAAGACTGAAAATATTTATTCATCATCATCATCATTTCAGCCGAAATGCGCACACTGTTGGACATAGGCCTCCCCCAAAAATGGAACCCAACCCGCGAGGTTACTTAGTAACAGTCCTTTTAAATAATATCATTGAAAAAAATTGTTTGTACAACTAACACACAACGCTATCTAGTTTTAAACTAAGAATAGCGTGTACTTTGAAAATGAGATTGATTGATAAAATACTTATATACTTTTTTTTGTGAATATATTATACACAGAAAACATAAATTCCGAAACAAATGTGTGGGCCTGGTGTGAGTTTATTTCACATTAACTCGATCGTCACTATGACGTTGCGATTGGCATGTACCAAACTTTTCTCCAATCGCAACGCCGAACGCGGTCGCGAGAGCGAGTTGATGTGAAATATGTGAATATGCTTATTTAAACACTCGAACGAAAAAAAGACTATATATAACATTAAATTTTAAAAACTACTCTTTAATCTGATATATCTATCTAATATCATATATTATCATTAGATGTATGGTAGTAAAGTTCTCACCTTTACTCTATTGGATAGCCTCAAAAATACGGATTCCTTCTGCAACGTAGTTTGAGGTTGATTTTGATTTTGAGACGCGTGCACGCCCGCAGGAGTTGGGTCTACAGCAATCTGATCAAAATCGGATATAAAGTTATCATTGTCAATCACTATCGGATCATTTCCTTCCTCTAAGCCATTATTGTCCTTTAATTTCTCAGTGACAACTTCCGATTTACCATTCTTTACTTCTGTTTTCTGATTACTGTCTTTATTATCAGGTTCAATAATTACTTCAGCACCTTTTTCTATTTCTATTTGAGCTTCTTGTGATTCTTGAGGTGGTTTTTCTTCAATCGAAGGAGTCTCTTCTACTTTATCATCAGCTGACTCGATTATCTCTTTTGGCAATTCTGTCGGTACAGCAGTACTCTCAGTTACCGCTTCGATTATTCTCTTTTCTTCGGATTGTGTCGTTTCATTAATATTGTTATCATCTGTAGCGGTATTTTTATCTGGCACTAATTTTATCTCTTGTTCTGAATTCGTATCACTACTTACTTTTTGTGGCGATTCTTCCACGGTTACATTTATGGTAACATTTAGTTCAGTTTCAAAACTTGTGTTTAAAACAACTTTCTTCTCTTTAATAGCTATAATATTACATAGGGCGGCTAAATATTTTTGAGGAAATAAAGCGTTTATATAAGCAACACGTTCATCATTAAACTCTATAGTCTTTGTACTTTTAAAATCTAGTCCATACGGCTGACAAATGCCGGTGCACTTTAGTGTATCCCGGAGGAATACTTGACGCACTAAATTCACTAACTTGTCCGAGCTGCAACTAATCAATTCATACACTTCATTGTAAAGAGTCTCGCTGCAATTATCACACACGATTATATGGCTGGGGGAACAACACCGTTTATATTCATTGTTTGACGACGTATCGTTGTGTTCCGATGATACATTTTTAGGAACTTCTGTTTTCACCAACGCCTGAGCCGCCTTTTTCATTATTGACATCACTGCGTCTCTTGCAGAACCGAATAGATTTTTAGACGGCTCAATTTCGGCGGCGGGGATATCTGGCACATCTAGTATATCATCATCCTCGTCCTCATCTATGTGCGCAGGATGCTGAGAATTTTCTTTTTCCAACACTTCAAATTCTGATGTCCCATATACTTTAAACAGTGAAATCGGACAGTAATGCTCGGAACCGTGGTGTGACAACATCTCTACTTTGATAAATTTACCAAATAAATGGGGGTACAAATCAAAACTCTGCACGTCTCTCATTTCTTGGGCTGCGAACTGTCCGACGCTAGCCCACTCCCTTGTTGGAAACCGGTCGCTAAAGTAAACAGCAAAATCTTTGGGAGTGGATGAGAATAATTCAAAGTTAGCTATCTCTATTTTCTGCGCTTGTACAGCCTCGCAGAGCTCCACAACAAACCAAATACGGCTGTTGCACGTGTTGAGCATGTACTCATCCCTATTGGGCGACAGAATAGAACTGGCCGAACCTGCCTCCGGATTGACGGCAACTACTTTCGCTCCGCAAGCAAGTGAAGCATAATTTTTTGACCTTAATTTGGTGCTTTTACTACTAAAGTTCGTATTACTATGACTAGGTTGACTTGAGTGGTTTAATACAGTGTCTTTTTTCTCGGCTTCGGCTAATTGTTTCTGGGCCCATTCAGAGAATGAAGGAATGTCCTCCTGTGGAGTCTCTGGTTTAACTGGAATGTTTTCTGTCACTGGTTCTTTGGATTCTTCAATTTGAGATTCTGTTGTTATATCTGGTTCTGAGGCCGCTTGAAATGCTTCTTCTACTTGTCTAGTTTCGTGTATTGGTTTAGCTTTAACAGTGACGCGTGGCTCTGTGCTTTCTTTTTCTTTCGCCACATCTTCAGGGGGTCTCTCTTCTTCACTGTCGGTTTCGCCGTCGATGATGGCGAATATTTTAGTGTCATTCAGTTCCTCGGAGTCGTTAACGAACAGCAGTTCGTCTGGATGTCTCAATTCCAATTTGGCGTTGTCTGCTAACGATATGAGCACTGGAGGCTGTCCAGTGTCAGGTAACCTGGAATGTAAGAAAAAATACAAATTAGAAACTGTATATTGTTATACGATTAAGTGAAAACGTTGCAATATGTTCGGTCTTATTAGCAGTTATGAAATTTAACTGTTAGAAATGAAATAAATCAGTTTCATGTAGTATATTGCATAGTGCATATATATCACCAATAGTAGAAGATGGACATTGTGCTTGCTGTTAGAAAAAAAATAGGTATTTTTTTATCTATTTACCGAAAAGAGTTTTTCTTTTTTAGACTATAATGCGTTTGTGAGTTACAGTTTTTCGCTGCAAATATACAACTATTGAAAACAAAGAGAAAAAATATATCAACAACTTCACTATTTAATTGCAGACGCTAGATGTACCGGAATTGTATTAAAATTTGTTTGCTATCTTACTTGAACGAGTTAATTTAACAATAGATTGCTTTGAGGTTATAAATGTATACTTATCACTTTTTACTCTTAAGCTTGTGTACCCACAATGGTGTAGACATATATACCTACTCGTATAAATATAAAAATGTTATGTTGGTTTGTGTATGCTTCAAAAACTCGATAAGTTCTGTATCGATGGATTTCAAATTTTGATACGATATACAAACCGTTTCAGAGACGGTTTTTATCTATTTTTCACGTCAGTTTTGTTTCTCATTTCTTATCAATGCAACCACAATATGCCACAGCAAAGGGGTACAGCTAGTATTATTTCAATATTTTAGTACGAGACGAATGAAGCGAGCGACGGCTATCTTAATTATTAATTATATAGGTACAGCAAAGACACATCACTTTCTCTTTGCTATCTAACCTAACCTGTATAAAATTGGGAATATGTTAGGACGAAAGGTAGCAAGGAAGGTACAAAGGGATATAATTTAAACACATGGGTTGAGGAGTGTAAGCAATAGTTTGGTAGCAATAGTAGGTGAAGCATTAAGAATACGGAGTGCCACCATCCCTGTTCATCCCTTGTTTGGCGTAGGAGCCGAATAAGGGAGCAAATAATGCAGGACAACAGCACTGCAAAGAGAAGGAAAACTTGAAACGAACCCTATACCAACCCGTCTGGCCAGAGTTTTATAGTAGGCCAAAACTACCTTTCTAAGGAGAGGCCTATGTCCAGCAGAGGACTAGTAAAGGTTGTTGATGATGATAAAGCAATAGTTTGATTAGGTCAGGGTGACATATTGGAACTGGAAATGGGTATTACCGGAAAATCCGAGCCCTCAAACCGCTGACCTCTAAGAAAAGACAATAGCAGAAGTATATTACGAAATAGTAAATTAGCCTATTTATAATACAATTGAAAAGGCAGTGTCTTCCGTTCACTAGTTCTTTAAGATAAAACATTGTCTAAATAAACAATCAGTACCTACTAACCGCTGGTATGGTAACGCGACACATATTATTTGATGATCATTGGACCCAATGAAGACAATTTAGACAGTGGACTCGCCAGAAGCTTTTGAACTCATGAATATTACACAATGTATTATGAGAATTCACTGTTCAATTTTCCCTCTTACGTCTTGCCATTGTCTTGATACAGATTGTTTCGAATGAAGATATGATTATTGTCAAATGATTTAATATTGCATTGTTTGTTGCTGAGATGTTTTAGATCTCCTTTGGTCAAAACCCAAGAGACATTTATGGAAGTTATTAATTCAACAAAATCAAAATCAGTGTCTAACTTCCACAATTTCTTTTTTCATGCAGCACAAAGTTTTTGTATTAATTAGTTGGCGGCGCGTCAGTAGTCACTATTCATCACCCGTATAAATTCAAAGCTCATTCTTACCACTTCGTGTCTAGAATGTGTTAGTCTATTTTCAATTGCAGTTTAGTTAATTAGTTCATAGTTGATTATATAAGAGAAGTATAAATATGTGCAAAGGTAAAAAGCGTTTCAGTTCAACTAATACTACATACTACATTTAACATAAAGCATTATGTAAAGTTCGACCTAAGCGACCTAGCTATGCACTCCAATTTATTTTTGTGAAGTCGTTTTCTTTCAAGAACTACAATAAAATGATATTAGTTAACGCAAGTTTTATAAATACGAGTAAATACTCTTGTACAATAGGTTTACCAATACATCTCCAATTCACATTTCAATTCAATCTTGGTTTGATACTCGTAAAGAACAAGTATTACCTACATAATTATACCCAAACCACCATTTCTTTTTTTTTAAGACAACTCCCTGTGTCGCGGTGGACTTCACAAACATACATGAAACGGACACAAAGAACACACAGACTCAGAACAACAATAAGTGAATCACACAAAGTGTCGTTCCAATGGGGGTTTGAACCCACAACACTCGGCGTACAGGAAGCGGCGTGGCGACCGCTTAAACCACTACGCCATCCGTGCAGTAAGTCATCAGTCAGTAAGGCATTTCGTTTCAATAAAGCCGGTTCTTATGATCTTATGATTAATTTCCATTCTCATTTAAGTGGTACCGTTTCAATAACTTTTAATTACAAAGTAACTTATTAGGTTTATATACAAATAGAATGTAATTATGTAATTTCATAAATTGACAGAAGTATTAATTTACATACTCAAATCATTAGATATCATCTGTATTTAAATGTGTAAAATTGCATAAGGGAGTTTTAATTGGTTTCTTTCATGGTTGGCCGCCTCCTCTTCTTAGGAATGTATGATTTCTCAGACAGGACAAGGTACATAAGGTAGGTAAATCGCAAAAAAAAACTATAGTGTATATAAGGATTATTTTTAAAATATGGATTTTAATATGGAATTTTTTTTAAATAACCTGACATTAAAGTACCTACACAACAAATTTGAATACGTAGGTACTTATTCTATTGATTTACTTTGGAATTTCAAAAATTTATGACTCGAGATAGAAGATTACTCGTGTGATTGTCGAGCCCCTAAAAACATGCGATAATAAAACGTAAACAATAAATCTAATGTGACTAGACATCGGCATTAGCGAATTAGCAAATTAAGTGTTTAAAAGGATTCAATCGATTACACGAATAAATTACTTATTTCATGTAATTTCGGACATTCAGTATCTTAAGTATTCAGTATTCAGTATCGTAATAAGTTTCTGTTGCAATTCCTTACAAATTTTCAAGTGTTGGTTTCTAACCAACAATGTATGTATGCAGATACTGCGCTGTGTTTGTAAACAACGAAGCATCTACAGACTATTGCCTCAACAACAAACTTAGAAACTATGTCGTGATTGCAAATAACTGGGGTTAAGTTTTTGCTGCCCGACACTTGATCATCGATAACAGTATAGATATTGGGTGCGGTCTATACTACTAACAAAATTGACAGGTTGCACAATAGAGTACCACGCAGCACTGCCGACATGAAAATTTTAGCACGCAAACAAAGTGTAAAAACGAATGGCCCCTTAAACTATATGCATTAAAAACACTCGTTTTTTTGACGAATTCCTCGCGTGGATGACATTACGTGTTGTGTGGAGAGAAAACGTTTCTTGTTTTCGCTTTTACTTCGACACGGAGGAACTATTGAATCTATTTGAATGATATCAAATTAAATCTGTTATTTGGAATTCAAAAGACTTATTTTATAACAGAAAATAAAAAAAACGCTATTTAGAGGGAAACTGTTCTTTTGTAGAAACACATGCAGAAAGTCGCTAAACTTAAAGATGTGTTCTTTGCTTCATAACAAAGGGATAGGGAAAACTTTAAGTTGTAAAGTTTCTATTTTGTCAACTTTATTGCTCATTTTTAACTTCTATGTGAAAAGAGTTTTTTTTTGTTTAACATTACTGTGTTCAACCGTCAAAGATTTAAAAACTAGACTTCAGTGAATCAATATATGTCTAGGAAGTAGTACACCTGTGATAGACTTGTGGCGACTCCCACATACAAAGAAACATACTACAGCGCCATCTAATGAAGACACACCGAACTACGGAGTAACTACTAAAATAAGAATTGCTAATCCTGTATCGCGATATAAAGAATTCTCTCGCCGATTAGCATATATACAACTTTCCAACGTCAACCGTTGGGCCGCGGCCCGGCAGGCATGATCACCTCGCCTGGTCGGAGGATCCTCCCTTTGTGTTGGAGGGACATGACACCCGTTCCTCCACAGACTTTCTATTCGGCCCCTTACTTAAAAACAAGTGGACTACCTCCAAGTCATTCAAGATTCTCGCGTTTAGCGTTTGCCTAGTTTACTCAGCTCTTTACTACCACCACCAGTTATTGTAAGAAGTGTACTGGACACTGCAATGATGCCTCTTCCCAATAACTGTAATAGTACAGTTATTGGGAAGAGGCATTTGTAAACTTCAAGTCTCTCCCAAGTACGAAGTATGTATAATCTTAGATAAATAAACGAAATTTCATATTTAGTTTACAATAGTATGGGCGGGAGTTGATCACTCGTAGAGGGTGGAGATAATTTCCGTACGATGAATATTTATGTAATATTTCATAACATTTAACTTAACATTGAAGACTTATATTTTGGAATTTCCAACTTCAAATGTAAGTTCTCATATTTAATACTAATTGAAAAGAACTACCGCACTAGACGATACATCAAGATCGTGCGTTGTACTTTCCAATAACGTTTGAGTACTGTGTTGGTTCCATTGTTTTTTTTTTACCTTTACACATCTCACACACGGCCGTCTGATTCCAAACTAGGCAGAGCCTGTACTATGGTAACCAGACTGCTGATAAAACATACTTAAATAGTTTTAAAAACACACACATATAGATAAATTACACCCAGACACAGAACAAATGATCGTGCTCATCACACAATATTTGTCCTTTGTGGGAATCGAACCCGCGACCTCTGGCTTAGCAGTCAGGGTCACTAACCACTAGACCAACAGGCCCGTCGAAATTCATTCATTTTAATTATTTAATTATGAATACGCGGTTTTGTTTTCATTTATTTCGTCTATAATTTATGTATTACCAGCGTCTGCAACGAAATGGTCTGGAATTACGTAATCATTGCAGATTAAATCATGCTTATTCAGTGACTTAATTTTTTAAGATTTGTTATAACGAAAAGAAATATCAATCTAATTTTTCAACTAAATAAGTACAGACAATACAGTTCAACCTTTTTGTCCTCTGTTTGTCAACAGATTTTTTTATTTATCTAGCAGCTATTTACGTCTAAATAATTTTGAACTTTGAGCCGTCACTATAAGATATAATTTACCTCAACTATTACTTCAGATGCTGTGATGTATGTTGTGCGTTGACGTTTATGTATTAAAATAACTTACTTTTTTCATACCTTCCAAGGTTTCACAAAAGCCTTGTAATGAAAATTCAATCAATGTCGGCAATGTAATTTTTAGAATTTTTAAAATTGTTTCGAATGGTATTTGCCTTTGATGAATATTGATCGATTTTTGTAGTCTGTATAAAAAATTGATGAGCTATTGTCACTACATCAACAGTCTATTGACACTGTGAATTTATATTAGTAGAATATCGATATTTTAACTTTTTATGATATACGAATACGAACGAATCCGTAATTCATTTGCGAAATGTCATAAGCTAATACAATTATTGTTCCCACCATATTCAACCGAAAGCGATGCAAAAGAAAAGAAAAAGACAGAGAGAGACATTTGCATCCAAAACAATACTACTTATACATTTTATAAAAATAGCAATAAATTTATACACAATGTCATATAGTCAAAATAAATTTGTAGAATTTTTAATTAATGTCAAGCAATAATAATAAAATGATATACTTAATGTCATACAGCCATAAAAAATACGTATAGTATACGATAGTAAGACAGGTCACCTGGGTCTTAATTCTGTTATTTTATTCTTGTATCAATAGACTTGTCTCAATGGACTGTCGTCGGAATAGCTTTGCGCTTTTCGTATTTAATTAACTATGTAAGACCAACGGCCCTCCGATGACTTATCACGGAACAAAGCTGATACAAATGTCATCGATGTCTTTGTAAAAGTTTGGTAGACGATACAATTTAAATTTGTAAGGAAAATATATATCTATGGTCTATTGACACTGTGAATTTATGTTAGCAGAATACCGATATTTTGACGGATGTCAATAGCATCTCATTGGCATTTCAATACCGTGCTAATGGAATGACACCACTGTAACGGTCCTGTACGTTAACATAAAATATCAGAATTGAGGAAAGTGATTACCGACGCCAATAGTCACATGTCACTCAGTACAAGTGCGTTGCCGGCCTTTGAGGTGGGAGTACGCCTTCGACCTTCGAGAGAAAGTCTTGAAGGTCGATCGGTCTATACATACCGTGGTCGTCAATTTGTTGAACAGAATATTGCGAGGGAATAAGTTATTTTCAAAACGCGGTGGAGTACAAAGTTGTTGTTGTTGTGATCAAAAGGTATGTCTCTTTATCCATTTCCAAGAAGAATTAGAAAAGAAGGAATGTTTATACTTGTAGCTTATTATCGTGTATATAAATACTTACCATGATTCCAGATCTGGTTAACAGAAAACACTTATCGTTTTACACTTGGCATATTGGCAAAAATAAATGACATTTTGTACTCTGGAATGCGGGGTGCTAAAAACGGGTCTCGGGCCTTGAACAACTCTGACAATTACCTGGTTACGACTGCGTCACGGCTAGTTTGCAAATACTTCTAGGTATATCTACTAGACCACAAGGTAAGTCAAAGCTCTTTTAATAAAGCAATGGTTAATTTTTTTATTCGTATTAACTTGTTATTCGTTACACGAAGGTTTTTTAGCTAAGAAATGATTAAGATATATTTTTATTATAAAACTTTGACTAATGAATAATATAGTTGTTTTACTAAACCTTATGCGTAACTTGTTTATGGGTTAGTCAATGTTATTAGCCAATAGACTCGAACTTATACAAGTAGAATAGTCGGGCTAATTTCTTTCATAAACAAAAGTCAAAATCTAGGGCATTGTAATAACTAATTTCGCTATAGCAGTAAAGTTCTGCCCTACATGATTTATGTAAAGAAGATTATATTCTCAAACTGAAATTGTAAGTTAGGTAGATAAGGTACATAAGACTACATATAAATATACTACTACTACATTTAAATTAAAGATTTTAGTTTCTTTAACTATATTATTTATCAATCAATGCATGATAAAAATATAATAGTTTGTTTATGGAGGAATGTGAATACTATAGTTAAACCGCCGTAAGCTTGGCCCTCCTGATGGTTTGGGGGACGCGGGGCGGGGGTGCATTCAACCATGAAAGCATGGCTATTCGTGTTATTTTTCTTAAGACTGCTACACACGGTATTATTTTGCAACATGGATAATCTGCCGACTCTGCGTCACAAAAAGATTTAAAAACTTGAAGTTCGGCTTACAGAGGTTCTACTGTTAAAGTTCTAATAAAGAATATTTATTATTTTACTTAATTTTTAAATTGTATCTGAATATAATTTACATGATGAAGATAAGGTGATTTTATTAAAATTATTTTACAGTATTAAATTTTACAATTAATCATAAAAACTTACAATACACTGACATTATAATACATGGAAATAAATTCGATTTTTATTACATCGTGTGTAGATTAAATCTCAAACAAATAAATCTGAAGATATCGAGTTAGTACATCGTGTGATGTATAGCCGAGCGCATCACCCGCCCCGCGTCCCGCAAACCATCAGGAGGGCCAAGCTTACGGCGGTTTAACTATAGGACCATTAGGTCAGTGGTCATTAACGCGAGTGAATGGCCTAGATTGATATTTAGTTTAATCTATCCTTATCTTAAAAAGCTGAATAGTTTGTTTGTTTGGCCGAACACGCTAATCACAGAAACTACTGGTTCGAATTGAAAATTTATTTTTAGTGATGGATGTTCCATTTATTCAGGAAGGCTTCACCTACTTATCATGTTGATGGCAACACTTTACACGGTTTTGGCCCAGTGCTCGGCGATGCACATGGCGTTTGGCCTTGCTTTATACAAGTCGTCTAGCGTACACGATTCTGGGCTCGCACCTTAAGTCTCACCTTGACAGATTGTCCTCAGATCTACCAACTTGGGTACCCAACCTATTGAGCGCCTACTAGGTTGGCCAGGGGAGTATATCTCCTGGAGGTTGTTTTTCTGTTAAGGGGACGAAATTGGAGAGACCGAACTTATCACGGCCATTATTATTGGGCCAGGCTCTCAAGGCCAGAGAAAATATTTCTCTGGCCTTGGGAGCCTTGTTTTTGACGGCAGGAATTATGTTGAGGAAACTGTTCCGGATCAATAGTAGACGAAAATCAATAAAAATGATCCAGAAACGGGAAAAGTTATTCCTTTCGAGAGACACAGACCAAGTTTCGCGGGTCAGGTAGTGTGGTATATAGCTGTCAATCCACGCTAGACCCACACTTATATCGAATATGAATCTGAAATTGATTTAACGTTGTGTTTTAGTCGATTGTATTCAATATTTTAAAGACATTGTTATCATCACGTGTTCCGCTTTTATTGTAAAGCATGCACTTAGCTGATATGGGCATAGCAAAATCAGCCATTACATCGAAAATGTTTCTTTGTAAATGCATTACAACTTAGATACAGATAATTTGTGTTTATTAATATGAATTGTTGAGGATTAATTGTCATATATACCATAAATGTAAAAGTGAGTTTGTTACGCCGTCACGCCTAAAAAACCAATAAACCGATTTTAAAAATTCTTTCACCAATGGAAAGCCACATTATCAGCGAGTAACATAGGATACTTTTTATCGCGATAACTGACAACACGCGGGCTGAGCCTCAGACAAAAGCTTGTCTGTAATATATATTCTTCAGAAGTAATGCTGGAAGACAGTAAGATATGTGTTTCATCAGCTGCTGTCTACGACTGGAATAACATTTTCTTATTTTACAGTAGCAAACAACCATACGACTCGAGCCCTTATTACCAGCTGTCTGTTGCGAACTGTTATCTTACAAAGTACCTTTTTATCTCTTCTCACTCTTCTTTTGTAGCGCGCAGATACAACACTATATTATTACTACGCTAACTCGAGTTGTCTGTTTCGGTGGAGCTTCTTTTGAGATACTTAAGACTATGAATACACACTAAAGGAGTTGTTAGGCACAGAAGCAGTGTGGAGTGAGAAAACAATGATTTTTATAACCTTAACAATAAATAACATTTTTCCCACAAAGATCTGCAACCAGAGGGCCTAGTGTGAGTTTATTTCACTTCAATTCGCTTTCGACGGCGATCGATTGGAGTTGCGATTGGTGAAGATTTCAGTATAGGCCAATCACAAAGCTGAGCGTGGTCACTATGACGGTCGAGTCGATGTGAAATAAACACACACTAGATCCTCAGATCTACGGCAGCAATATTTCGAAAAGGTACAGTATGACACTTTATTGTATGACAAATCTTTTATTTTCACCCTTCTTTTTTAACAAATGCTTTTTCATTGAAGGCCCTACTGTTACAATTATTAAGACATGTGTGTGCCATTTCTGCTAACATCTTTATTTTACGTTCTTGTAGCAGCCGTATGACGTCACTACGTCATTATTTGAACATAACTTCAAACTTTATGAATTCATCGTTTAAGCACCATAATGACGTAAATATCTTCTAATGTTAGATGAATATCGTATGCTTACGTGTAGAATATCTTGGTGAGTCCTTGGTGGCCACCGTAGGAGAGCAGTTGACATATGAGGAGGACCGCCAGCAGCGCCCGCGGCGGCGACATCCTGTAACCGCCGACGGGGCATTGGCGACGCGCCGATACACCTATCACGACACGACACGACACTGCACACCAACTAATAGAACTTTTTCCACAGTATAAGGGCGCTTCTTATTGACCCAATATCTTGATTGTATTACGTCACTGTCACTGTTTGAATTTATAACTTCACCTCTTATGTTTAAAGGTCGATTTAACTCTGTACGTCCTGTAACTGTAACTGTGGTCGATTTAATTGTTAGCGTCCATTCAGACGTTTAATGTTTATGTGGTAAGACCTAATAAAGAGGGAAGCCTTTACGGATGTTTGCAAAACACGGATTGTGTAAGAGATATTTTAGATAATAAACTTAGCAGTTGCGTATGTCACGATAACAGCGTGCATCTTGCTAAATTCGATGTTTGTTTTTCATGTTGTTAAGGTTGGGGCAGACAGCAGTTGAGGCAGGTCTGTGACAGACTGCGCCAAGCGCGACTGTTGTTGAAGATCTGTCACCCCGCACTCTGTCTACCGCAAACATAAATGGTTTACATTTTGTGAACAAGTTTTTACGAAATAATTCTTGGAATAGGTATTTATTAACAATACAAGTTACTCATTTCCATTCAAACGCCGTTACAAGCTTAAGAAAGTGTTTCCTAACCAATACTTTTTAAAATATATTCACGGACCGCCCTGTTATGTAATACAGATCTTTGTTAGATGTCTAGTCTCTTATACAAATGTTCAGTTACGTGAAGTGTCTCAACGACACAAAACATTTTGACACGATGTCGAATTAAACTTGACAGTAACACATGGAAATCACTTAAGGCAAACTTCTAGATGTGTAATAAATAACACAAATATGGGCTTTTTACTCATATATTTTATATTATCCGATTTCTTGGGGTGATGGGTATGAAAATTATGGTAGAGAAATATAAGTAAAGATTTTTTTTCAGCAAGTGTTTTATTTTGTTAACAGTGAAATTTTACTTATTTATTATTTATTAGGCATATTTATAGAATAAACACAAACATTGATGTACATTAATTGTTTGAAACTAAGTTCACAGGCTTATTACAATTATGCACAGCATTTTCACATATAGACAAGGTAAAACGGCAAATACTCCGAAATATTTTATTCCGAATTTCAAAAGTCCGAATTTCATAAAACCTAAGAATCTTAATGTCTTTTATTAAAATTCACCTAAATTATTTTACCGAAAGTCGTAAATTCGATTTGTTTGTTTTCCGTGTATTCGACGACGTTTGAAGAATCAAATGCTCGATGGGTTCTCGGTCCGAAAAACGATGTACCGATTTTCAATACTTTATAATAATTGCTAAAATAACGATTCTAATTCAGTTAGTATAATAATCGAGTTACGTTTAATGTAATTTAAAAACGTGTTTTTGTTACTGTGTTTTTTTAATAGCTTCTTCTTCTAGTACCTGCGTCGCGTATCATCTACTATTATTGAATTTTTGGGTTTACTTAGAACAGTGGCGATTAACGCCAGATTCTCTATTATCGGAAAATCATTTGGGTTAGGTTTTAAAGATCCACTCTATTGTTGGTTATTGGCAAATTTTAGATGTTTCGAATTATAATTAAGTCGGACTTTTTGTTATTCGATCTATAGAACTACTACAATACGTAATTATCATATAATCATAAACGCTAGGAATATTGAAATTTTAGAATTATAAGAATAGGAATTTTGAACCATTCGGAATTATGAAAATCGCTATTTTGAAATTCGTATTTGTGACTGACGGAATAAAGTTTTTCGTATCTATGTAGTGTACAGATAGACAACATAATGATAGAAAATTGAAAATAGCAACTAAACCTTATAAATAACCTAAAAACTTATACACTTTACGAGATTAGCAGACTACATTATATTATATAGTAGCAAGTTTAACAAAATTAAAAACCATCCACCATTAATAAAGACTTCTGAAAATGTACTACTCCACTATGCATATTATTAACTTATGTTAAATAAATTAGTGTTGGATAGTCTATTTATCGAGGAAGGCTATAAAAATATTAAGTTATCACCAATAGCAGCCAACCATCAATAAAAAATGTTGCAAAAATGGGGACATTTCTTTTGAGAGACGCAAACCAATTTACGCGGGTCAACTAGTATGTAATAAATCATAGCGATTAAGTTCTGTTTGTCCGTGTGGTGACGGATTAAGAATACGGAATGTCACCACCCCTGTTCATCCCATAGGTGTCGTAAGAGACGACTAAGACAACAGAACGGCAAAGAGAAGGAAAACTTGATACAAACCCTATACCAACCCGTCTGGTCAGCGTGGTATAGTAGGCTAAAACCTCCTTTCTAAGGAGAGGCCTGTTAAAGGCTGTTGATGATTATGATGATTAAGTTCCAATATAAACATCTAATAAATTAGACGGATGTTGAATAATGTTAAATGGATACATTTAAAGATAATAATCTGTCGAAGATTGATCGATGATAAACACGATCTCAATAAACATAGTTGCGATCAACATGTATTGGAAAACAAATCGATTAATTGAATGTTATCGAAACTCATTTTGAGACAATAATCGAAGTGTGATTCACGTGTGAGAAATTTGAGACAATGTAACAGCCGGCGGAAGTGTAATGGCTAAGATGTAGCAACTAGGTAGAGATTCGAAGCCCACACAGTAAGTACACTGGCAAAATTAACAAGACTTATTAGTAAATAGCTGGCCCACGCAACTTGTTCTGCCTCTCTCAAAAGTAATAAATTTGCTGCGTTTTTGCAACAATTTTCATTGATGCTCGTCTCCTATTGGTCATCATCATCATCATCAACAGACTTTAATGGTCCACTGCTGGACATAAGCCTCTCTTTAGAAAGGAGGTTTTGGCCTACTATACTACGCTGGCCAGACAGGTTGGTATAGGGTTTGTGTCAAGTTTTCCTTCTTTCTCTCTGCAGTGCTGTTATCCTGCGTAGTTTGCTCCCTTAGTCGCCTCTTACGACACCCACGGCATGAATAGGGGTGGTGACACTCTGTATTCTTAATCCGTCCACACAGACAATTGAAATATTGGTCATAGCGTGATGTTATATAGGCTTCCTCGATAAATCAGCTATAACTAAAATAATATTCCAATTCGAACCAGTAGTTCCTGAGATTAGCACGCTCAACGAAACAAATGATTTTTTTTCCTTGATAAGCTATTTAACAAAGATTTGTCTATCTATTCTTAAAGAAGCAATGGCTTAACTTCGTAAAGATGTATGCATACAAAAGATTGAGTAATGTGGTGTCATTGCTACATTTGAGTTATGCTAAACGAATGCTGTGAGGAAACCTGTGTTCGCATAACCACATGCTTGTATTGTTTTGGGTGAAACACTAGGCTAAATATTGGATATTTGTACCAGGAAAATGGTCCTACCGCAAACGCATTTACAAATTTTATTTTTAATATTACAATATCGGGCTTATGTCAAGTATATTTTTAAACGAAACCCTAAGACTTGTTCCAAGTATAAGAGTCTAAGCTACTCCTTTTAATATTAGCTATCTGTGAGCGAAACTTCGTGGAAATTTGTCAATTTTTTCGGATTATTTTGCTACAACCAGACTGACCGACAACGAAATTGCAGATTTTTTGTATAAGTACCTTGTAAACATTGAGATAAATTTTGTGAAATGCTGTTATAGATATTACGAAAGAAAAATTAGAATACCTACTCTAATTTTATTTATTTTTATAAAAGTATAAATAAATTTGAACTGTTAATTCTACCTATTTCAAAATAAACATAAAATTATCTATCAAATAAATCAATCGGATGCATTTTTCATAAAAAATTGTGTGTTTTATGTCCACTAATAAAAATTTATAAATCAAATCTCAAATTCAATGTATTTAGTCGTCATCGGTCTAATGTAAACTTTAAGGAGAGAAAAAAAAACAAATCTTTTTATACTGCCTAGAGACTTAGAGGAGACTAAATTTTGTTTATAAAAGCAAGCACGACCCGAAACAATCATCTAGATACTTATCTATTGTACAATTATGTTCTTACAAAACAAATTATAGTTTTTATAACTATTATACCGCTCCAATTGCCAAAGACCTCACAATCGGCAAAGAGCCCACTAAAGCGTGTAATTGCAGTTTTCATGCTGTTACATAATTTTCAAGACTACCCTACTTATTGCTACGTAGTACGCTTTCTTTGACAGAAAATATTTAACAACTTTTTTTTTAACCAAGTTCCTTATCGATGTCGTTACACGCTCTGAGCGGTTGGGAGCGAGACAGAAAAATGTGTAACAAGACTTTTTTCCGACACTTCAGTTGGTGCGTCGACACTCACATATTTTTCATATTTGATGTATATAGCAAACGTCAACCAAGAAGCGAAAGGGGTTTATAGACCCCCACGCCGGTTTTTTTATGGTATAGCAAGGCTGCGAGCGAGTACACCTGATGTTAAGGGACTATGACCTACACGCAAGATTTTAGCTAAATTAGGGGGGGGGGGAGGGGGACTTATGATCGTGCTCATTGCACAATTGTTTGTCCTGGATGGTTGTCCAAAATTATTCGTATTTACATTGTCAAAACCTATTTACACGGTTGTGATTTGAAGAATATCTAATCATTAGGTACAATAAAAAGGTTTTTATTTATTAAAGAAAGATAAGATAATATACTAATGGCTTATATTATATTTAAAACTTTGCCATGAGTATGTCAATTTTGCTTAGAATTTGATCTTTCCCGCACAATATGGTCTAATGTAATCTCTCTATTTCTGGGGCTGGAGGAATGAGGGGTCGATGTCCACGGGTGGCGGTAGTCACTTACCATCAGGTGACCTGTCTGTTCGTTAGCCCTCTACACAATAAAAACAAGAATAAGCGAAAAACCTGAAAAGAAAATAATGAACTATGGCTAATTCCAGCTGTCTTAGTCAGTTTAAATTCAAATCAAGTCCCCGCATAGTGTTCGTCACTTTCCGATTACATTCAATTATCAAACACACCTTCATCGCGTTCAACGTCACGAAACCGTGACGAAGTTGCCAATGAAAATGAAGATCGGACATTTCTGACATGTGGGCGTCACGCATAATAGAACCACGTGTATCTGATAATACGCAATATCGATTACAGATATCGGATGACGCAATTCGTTATTCGTGAGAAATAAACACGTCAATTATAGGGATGGGCGTCTAGAATCGGATACAACATTAACGAGTCTTAAATAAAAACTTAAGAATTAAATTCGTTAAATAATTTATTTTTATTACAAATGATAAATACACATTTACTCGCTTATATCTCCGAAGGGGTAGGCAGAGTCGTGTTAAACGCCCACATTTTGCGGAGTATAATTTCAGTACCACTGCCTTAACTTAAATGGAACTCCTAATTCTCCCATCGAATTCATTTGAATGAATTCGATGGGAGAATTAGGAGTTCCATTTAAATGGAAAAGTAAGAAGAAAATGCAATGGTAGGATATTCCTTATATTGCTTATACGGATGGATTGGGGAGGAGCAACAGCTCGAGCAAGACATGGTTGCATCATCATCATCATCATTATTACTGCTGAACATTAGCTTCTCCTTAGAAAGGAGATTTTCGCCTACTATCCTAGCCTAGTGGTTAAGGCGTTGGACTTGCAACCAAGAGGTCGTTGGTTCAAATCCTGACCAGTACACTACCGACGTAAACCCACTCCTAACACAAGCAATTTAGCTTAGCGGGAGGGGTTAACGGGAATACTAGTAATTTCGGTTGCTAGTAGAGCTTTCATACCACCAGCTCTGCTTAGTTTGAAACTAGAGGGCGTTGTGTGTCAGATGCCCGAAATATTATATTAACAAATATTATACCACGCTGGCCAGACGGGTTAGTATAAGGTTTGTTTAAAGTTTTCCTTCTCTGTGCAATTCTGTTGTCCTGTAGAGTTTACTCCCTTAGTCAGCTCTTACGACAGCCACGGAATGAATAATAGCGGTGGTGACACTCCATTTTCATTGGTACCTGTAACTAACTTCCCATTGCGTGAAAGTCCGAGCGGCTCTACAATAAGAAGATGAATAAACAAAGACTACACCTACTACTATAACCCGGCAATCTCGTGCGCGACCGTCCCGCGGGGTGACAGACAGTGGCGGGGGCGAGGTAGCGCGTCATTCTAGCACACGGCTACACACGAAGAGAAGCGTTTCCCTTCCCCGCTACACCACCCGCTACCCGCTGACAAATTGAGTACCTCGTCCCCGCCACCGTCTGTCACCCCGCAGGACGGTCGCGAACGACGTTGATGGACTATAGGTGTTATATGTTGATATGTGTCAAACATAAAGTTAAAATTTAAGATTGTGATTTCAATAAATTTTACAATAGTTATGGATATGTAATTATGGAAAGTGATAAAAACCGCCCAAACTCAGTGTCAGTCATAAGCACGTTACTCGCCTTCGCCCATTCCTACAGATATACGCTCTTTACTTGAAGATTTTCTTGATAAAAATATATATTATACGCGTCGCTAAAAACTAATAATCGTTTTCGTTTAAAATAAAATTGTATTTGTCAAGTGGTCGATAAAATATAATTATTCAGTCATTTTTATCTATTAATAATATTCACTTCCCTAAGATTTTATGTAATCTATAAAAAAAACAATTACAATAGTTGTTAAGATAGTAAGCACATATGATGGGTGTGCACATAAATAATTAGTATTGAATACTGTCGCGACATAATGGAAAAGTTTAGGTCTATATAATTCTAACAACCTTGACATTTTAATTAAGACACAGAATAAAATACTGAAATCTTTTAATTGAATCAAATCTTAAACAAAAAAGACATTACAACAGTAATGTAGGCATACTGAGATAACTTTACATGATGGATGGCGTTAGATAAAATTTATTACATATGTTTTATACAAATACACATTAAAAAGTCATTTCATCATGTTTTAATGTATAATTATTATCATTTAATTTTATTTTTGCTCAAATGTACTGGCTCTACAAAATTGACAGACTGCAGGAATAACATTAAGTAAACATAACATAATAATAGAATATAATAAAACAATATTATGTTATGTAAATGACGAGGTATTGATCTCCTACACCAGACGCGTAGGATAGGAATTATGAATCCCTCAATTATTTTAATTCTTTTTTTTTTCAGGGAAGAGTCTCATTTTGGCTCCTATCTCATAACTCTTTTATGATTAATTCATAATATCAAAGGAAAACTGTCTAAAAGATATGAAATCATGTGTCCGGGCTTTTCCAGGCATGGATGAGTCAATTTTAAATCGATATCAGTAATGATAGATTAAGTGTATTCAATATAGTTATACATTATATCTTTATATATTAAATCTATACTAATATTATAAAGCTGAAGAGTTTGTTTGTTGGTTTGTTTGAACCCGCTAATCTCAGGAACTACTGGTCCGATTTGAAAAATTCTTTCAGTGTTAGATAGCCCATTTATCGAGGAAGGCTATAGGCTATATATCATCACGCTAAGACCAATAGGAGCGGAGCACCAATGAAGAATGTTTCAAAAGCGGAGAAAATTTATTACTATTGAGAGACGCAGACGAAGTTGCGCAGGTCAGCTAGTAATCAGATAAAAGTAAATATCATTATATACTAGTAAAATTGGTAATGAAGAATCTTATTAACATTATAAAGGCGAAAGTTTGTATGGATGTATGGATGTTTGTTAGTCTCGAGCAAAAACGGCTGAACGGATCTGTATGAAATTTGGCACAGAATAGCACATAGGCTACTTTTGTCCCGGAAACATGGTATGTTCCCGTGGGATGAGCAAGGTATGACAACAACCGTGGGCGCAGATAGTTTGTAATAAAAAAGAAAAAAATCTATATATTTCCAACTTATGTAATATTTTTAAAAGTGAGGTTATTAATAATTTTATAATCAGAAAGTAATTTGTTCCAAAAGAACGATGTATAACATCTCATCTACGTTCTAAAAATAAAATAGCGCGCTTCCATGCCTTCCTGTTACACACTTCCGTTTCTATTTTTTTTTTTTTTTTTTTTTTTTTTGTTCATCTTTAATACAGCAATCTGTCTCTTTATCAGGACATTAAGCGATAGATTGGGCATAAACTGGAAGTCGTGTGCAGGGATGCGGCCAATGCCGTACCCTGTTCTAGTTATAATGTGCTCTTATCACAGCACATCCTGGGGGATTCTGAGCTTTAGCCTACGGATTTTCAAACTGTTGTCCATAAGCGGTTGGGCCAATATATTTGGGTGGTTTGATATTCTGTCCCTGTATGCCTTAGTGTGTCTAGTTATTTCCTCCCTGATTGTAGGCATCTTCAGATCGTTGTGCAGTTGTTCGTTAGTCACAAACCATGGGGCACCAGTAACTATGCGCAGCATTTTGTTTTGAAAACGTTGTAAGATCTCTATGTTGGAGTGTGAGGCTGTTCCCCATAGTTGTATGCCGTACGTCCACACAGGTTTAAGGATGGCTTTATATACTAGAAGTTTGTTTTCCCTTGATAACTGGGATTTACAACCAATGAGCCAGTAAAGTTTTCTCAGCTGTAGACCAAGCTGTTTTCTCTTGGTAAGAATGTGTTTCTTCCAGGTAAGACGTTTATCGAGGTACAGTCCAAGATACCGCACGTGATCTGCCCGAGGGACTTCTACGTCATTCAACGTCACTGGTGGACAGTGCTCTCTTCGCAGGGTGAAGGTAACGTTGACCGACTTGCTTTCATTAGCTTTGATCCGCCACCTTTTTAGCCAGTCGGCTATGTTATTCAAACCTTCTTGTAGTAGTTTGGCTGCGATTTCTGGCTGACTATGGGTGGCCAAAATGGCTGTGTCGTCAGCAAAAGTACCTGTTGTAATTTTTTCACTGGTGGGTAAATCCGAGGTGTAGAGCAGGTAGAGGATCGGACCAATTACACTTCCCTGTGGAACCCCCGCTAGAATGGGGCAAAGGCTTGTCATCTCGTTTCCACACTGAACCATAAAGTGACGATTAGCTATGAAAGCTTTGATCATACAAAACAGGTGATGGGGCATGGATTTTTTAATTTTGTAAAGCAAACCCTGGTGCCAGACCCGATCGAAGGCCTGCGAGATGT